GGTTTATACTGTTAATCATGTTTGCACACCCCACAGCACCTCTGTAAAGATCTTGAGGGTCTAGCCCCCCCTGGATGCTTGGCACCCTGGTTGAGAATGACTTAAGGCATGTGGACTAGATAGGAAGTATACTCACTTAAATCCCTGCTGATTCCAGGCCTGTCCATACATTCCATATGCAGGGACTTGCCAGCCATTAGGCATGTACTGACCGATTTGTTGTGCATTTCCATACCACTGGCCCCACTGCCCGTAAGCAGGTGGATATCCAATTTGATTCTGCAAATAATGTTACAGTCTTGAAGTTCATGTGCTAAACACTCTCCTAAGAAAACAGTTTCTTCATCAACAAATCATCCAGCTAGTCTTAAAAAAAACCCCAAACCTCCCTGTATCCCTCCACATAAACAATGCTGGTAATGTTGTTCGCCACAGTGTTTACTTTCCTGAGTGCTCTGCAAAAAAACGGAGCAAAGCTGAAGCCATTAGCTGCATGAAACAGAACATGTGCGAAAGTTTTAATGCTTCCAAATGTTTCACACTACTGAACTTCCCATACACTTTAAAAATGATCAGATATGTTAAAGGGCAGATATCTACAGTAGAAGAAAGAGTTGAATATGAGAACTTATGTTGCTACAGCAGCCTGAAATCCAGAACCCATCACTCCAAAATCAACATGCAGAAAGAATCTTATGACACACATCAGTTAAGAATTAATTTAAAAATGACAACCACCATTTTAGAAATTAAAAGAGGAAAGTTTCCTGACCTGCTGGATTGGATTGATCATATCTGGAGTTTCCTTGCCCCAGTAGCACTTCACGACATGCCCTTCTATAGTAGTCCCATTAACAGAAACAATTGCATGTGCAGCACTTTCATGAGAATTGAACCTGTTGAAATAAAGAAGTTAGATCAAGATAAATACATCTTCCCAGTAAAAAAGAGACACCCCCCAACCAAAAATCATTTAAGTAGAATCTATTAGGTAAGAGAAACCCAACATTTTAGCTTTGTTAAAAAGTTAGTGTTTTTCTTTTAATTTTTTCTTCTTTAATTAAATCATTTGTTTAGTTTCTCTTATGATCCTTCCAAGTCCACTCAAATATTGCAGTATTATCACAGATTCAGAATTCAGAAAGCCAAACCTGAGCAGCTTGTTTCACACACACATATTGAGTGGCAACTGTTTTACAGCCCAAGCAAACCTAAAGTTTTTAAGTTACATTTTTTATTATCTAGCTTTAAGACAGTGGAAGAAAACAGGAACACTATAAGGTGTGCTTCAGGACTTCAAAAAATTCTACTCAATACCTCAAGGAGTTTATAAAAAGGGAAATTAAATACCAGATTGTTAATTTGGATCAAGAGCAAATTATCAAAAATGAATAAAACCAGTCACACAGACATGAAGCTTAGTGCAATATCAGGCCAACAAAACAGACTTCTGCCAGCACAGCTAGGCCTGTCAGATGCGTGCAGAGGTGTTGCCCCTGACAGAGACAGCTGTGTTGGCTGAGGACCTCAGAAGCAGACCCAGGCAAAAAGTGCTTCTGCTGGAAAACCCTGTTTCACTAGTAAGGCCAGTCATAGTTTTACTATGCTGGCATGAAATGCAGTCTTGCTAGTATAGATGCATCAACGCAAGGATCTTTTCATCCATACAACCTAACAGTACAGCGCACAGCCTTCTAAAGTGTACACAGGTTTTATTCATCTAGGCTACTGCTATCGGAAACATTCAGGTTATTTGTCAACACTGCTTTGGACAAGTCAACCAACTATGTTACAACTTCAAGCAAAAAACAACCAACCAACCTACCGTACAAATGAGTACCCTTTATCTGGGAAGACTCGAATTTCCATTATCTGCCCAAATGGAGAAAAGGTCTGGCGCATCAGCTGTTCTACAAGGTACAAAAGGAAAATAATCCAAATTAGGAAACACAGTGGTTATTCAGAGACACTTCTTTGGAGATGATCAACAGTGAGAAAACACCATACCTGTTAGTCCTGATGTGACACCGCCACAATATACAGTGCAGTTGCTTGGGCTGGACTGATTTACAACATCATCATAAGACAGCTGTTTGGTGTTGGCTGAAAGATAGTTTTAAAATAAACACTTTTTACTTTTAAAGACTCGAGAGATTTTTACCTAGGCAAGTTGCATCATCTGAAGAGGCTCACAAATACAAAGATTCACAGGATTTTTGGGGCAGTGACTAAAGAGACCAGTCCATTTTCTCCTGTACATTTTAAATTTTACTCTTTTTGAGCAATCACTAAAACCAGAATAAAGAAACAAGAGGGTATGGGGAAAAAAAGTAAAGATATAAATACAAAATACACAATGACCTCAAAATTTAATTCCTAACACTGAATGGAAGAATTGTAGACATGTGAAGTGTTAAGAGTGGTATTCTTTTAACCTAAGCCCATAAAACCAGGTTTAGACACTTAAAGCAATTATTCTATTCTACCAGGGGAGATTTGAACAGTTTCCTGCTGTATCTGCACCAACCCCCCCCCCGAAACACTGCCAATGCATAAGAATGAGGAACTGAAATCAAAGCCTACTTTTTTGATCCAAGCTGACTGAGAAGACCACAAATTAAGGGCTAAAAAGCAACTGAGGATTTTTTAAATATTAAAGGTTAGCAACAACAGGATTACAGACATTTGCTTAAAGTATTATTTTTTTTAATTATTTCTTCAAGCAAAAGTTTGTCTGAAGTGCATACACAAGATAGAAGGCTAGTATCTTCAGAATTATGAGGTCATATTTCTACTTTAATTTGGATAGAGGGCCAAGATGAAAAGAAAGCAAGTAACCTACACTCATATGTACTCTTTGGAGCTGGAGGTTTTCGTGTTGCCCAGTTGGTTCTGATTTGTCTTCCACCAAGCCACTGTCCACCCATCTGCTGAATAGCATTTTCTGCATCCTATCCGTAAGGAAAAAAGTGAATTAATCATTTGGAGTAACAGTATTGCTACAGCAGTGGTAAAACACCCTAGAAACCAAGACACTACCATATTACCACAAACAACAACATAAGAACCCTGCAGGATTAATAAAGTTATCAGACAAATTGAGAATTACTCAAGGGAGGGTTATATACATCTACTTTGTAAGCCTGCTCTATGTAGTTTGTAGGAAGCTTTCTTTCAAATGACATTCCACTAACTTACCCTCAGCCCTGCACAGAAGTCACCCCTCAGACCTAATATTTTAACCTGGGTTAGCCTAACTTTTTTTTTTTTTTTTTTTAAATATTCCCCCCTTCAAAACAGACAGACCATGTAACGGCTTGCCCTACACTCATCCCACCCCTGAGACGTTTTTCAAAGGAGAATGGAGATTTGGAGACAGCCAATGTTGTAAGCACCCTGACTTAAGCAAGCAGTATGCTGGAATCCTTGTGACACATGGATGCCATGTTTAGTAGTCAAACTAGTAAATGGAAGTAAAAAAAAGCACTAACGTTTACTAATGTTCATTCCGTGACAAAGATAATTAACAAGTATGGCAATCCTGCATAAATGTCCCCCTACATAACAGGCAAGGTTCTTTGAGTAGATGTGATATATTTTATTAGACCAACGGAGTAGTTGGAAAAAAAGTTCTTAACAAGCTTTCAGGCAGTCACCCTTCTTCAGGCATAGGGATTCTCTGCTGTTCTGAGACTCCAAGAAATGAGAGAAGATAAAAGTTTGGCAGGATGTCAGTAAGAATGGAAATAGGCAGAAATTAGGAAGACAAAAAGTAAAGCAGAGAGGGGAGGGGGAAAGAAAGCAGGGGGAAAAGAAAAGGATAAAGGGAGATATAGCAGTGATAGAATACAAGGTAGAAAAGAGGCTGACAGTGAAAAAGAAAATAGTTGGAGATCAGGAAAACAGGAATGAGGGAAGCTCAAAGTGAGAGAGGATGTAGTAAAAATATAAATAGGTAGAAGCAAAAAGGTAAAGCAGGGAAGGGAGCGAGCAGTCAAAGGGAAACATTACAGAGGTAATAATACAGGGTAAGAAAGAGGCTCTCAGCTGTCTTAGAGGTTAGTTCAACAAAAGTGTAAGTGTTTAAAGACGTCATTCTCCCACAACAAATATTTTAGCTGAGAATAATTTGGATTTAAAGTATAAAAGTTGTAGAAAAATGGCACAACTTAAAAGCTGGGGAGAGTAGCAAGTATTCTAGCAGTTTTGTCAAAGAACATATTCTGCATTTTTATACCACTTCTCCAGAGTTTTAAAAACGTTGGATATGCTTACACAGAACATCACAGTATTCCCTACTTTATAAGATGGTAAACTACAGCAAAAACATGGTTAAAAAATTCAAAACCATTTACTAACTTTTCTTCAAATTATCTGGTATCATTTCAGACACCTTAGTTCTACAATACTGTCACTTACCCATTTATTGAAGAAAGAAACAAAGCCATATCCTTTGGATTTTCCTGTTGCCATATCTTTCACCACTCGTGCATCTCTAAAAAGTAGAAGCAATGGCCAGTTTAGAATGTTTTAAAAAATATACAACAATAAAATGAAAATTTAAGTCACACACACAGCACATTTTCATCTTTCACCTTCTATTTAAGTGAACACTTTAATCCGCCAGCAACACATTCAAAGCAATTTTCTCCTTTTCTAAACAGAACTTAACTAATATCTTGTTATGTAGTAGCAAAATTAAACTTAATTTTGTAAACATGCAAATCAATAGCTTCTCTAATTAATGTAAATGTTACAAAAGTTGGTTCCCAGTTCAAAGTGCGTTTACATACTGTTAAGACACTAAGCATGGTCAAAGCAGCTATTCAAATGAATCACTAAAGCCACAAAGCTGACTAACATTAGCTGAATGGCTCTCTTTAACCACGCAGTTTTAAACTTGCTATTTGCCAACACATTCTACCTATTCATTAAAAATATAAAAGAGAAAAAATGAAAAAATAGGAATTAAAAGGCATACGTCGCCTGTTAACTGAATTCTTTAATTTTCTCAGGTCAATTCGTTACCCCCTTTTTGGACTGTGGGCAGCTGTAAATTTTGAAAAATCAACATTTTCAGAAATGGTTGCATTATTGAAGAAAATAAAACACTAAAAACATATACGTTTTAAACTATATACTAATATCACTTTAAACTGCATTTGTAAACAGCAATCATACAAGATTGATTGAAAACTACAAAAGATAAAGAGCAAAAATGTATAAAAGTAAATAAGAAAACTACAACGTTTGTCCACTGTGAACTGTAGCTTGTAGTTAGCCATGGCAATTCTGTCCATTCTTCAGAGACACTCTGCAAAATAACCAGAGCCCTATTATTTGAGATTGAGTGAAAAAATAAGAGAGACCCAGCTACAATAGCTAAACCCCACTTGTAGAATGTCTAATTAAATTGTGTTTCTCAGGCGATTTGTGTACAAGTTAGCCAAGTATCAAGATGTTAACCCACATGTGTTACCTTACCCTGCCCTCCCTATCCCCACACACACAGGCACTTTTGATAAAACAAGACAAATCAAAACAGTCAGGAAGTCATGCAATCAATGTAGCTTCAAAGCTTCATAAAATGAGATGGTTCAGATCAACTCGTGTAAAGTGTGCAAAACACTTAGCAGGGCAGAAAAGAGGATACAAGGCTTTTATGAGACGAGTTTTTTCCCCTTGGAAATTACAATAATTACAATCTATATTAAAATCCTAATACTTTCCCACACGTCCACAGGCTTTGTAGATCACTGAAAGGCCAAAGTAAAAGACCACTTCCAGACACTACAAAAAGAAAAAGTAGCTTAGCCCTTTTTGAAACAACAAGAATTACACTGCTTATTCTTTTTTCCATCAAGAACGCTTGAATATGGGTAATATGTTACAAATTGCCTGAGAACAGACATCTGTATAATTTTATTAGATCAGTTTCCCTGAACAGCCTAAAAGAGGGGGGAAAAAAAACTAGTCTATACTTACCCTCAACTGAAAACTTAGAAAATAAGACTTGAGAACAAGTGAAAACATGCATATACCAAGTTTAAATGGGAGACCGCAATTAAAATGTATGTATGTGTGCATAAAAAAAGATAGAAAAAAGTTACCAAAAATACTTGTATGCTGATCATGCATTAATTCACCTTGAATTTTATAAGGAAGACATTTAATCAAAAACAATCAAGATATCAAAATAAAAAAGCAAACAAACAAACAAAACCACACCAATACCCACCACATTTCCAGAAAATAGCTGTTAACCAAGATGAGTTACATTTAAGACTTGAAATCTCCCTTTTTCTTTCTGTAAACAGCATGGATATCTTCAAATTGAACTTAGTAACTATAAAGTTCCATCCTCCTGCAACTAACCCCTTCCTACATGACAGCAACAACCAACAAAAACCCCAAAAGCTAGGATTTTAAATTAGTTATATTCATTGGGTAAAACAATATTCCATTTTGTTTTCTGACAAATTAGCCCCAGCCAAGACAATCTGTAGAAGTTCTGCAGCCATGACAATTCAGCCAGTTAGTCTTACAACTGTGCCCTGAATACCCCACACAGGAAAGCTATAAGAGTCACTCACGCAAAGTATTTTAAAGATGACTGAAGAAAAACCTTAGAATCTGGATAAAAATGCTTTATCACTACATTGCGATTCAACACTATCCAGAAACTTCCTGGAACACAAAGAAAAGCCCAGAAATCCTGCATGCTTTAAGAGCTCTTACAAAGTTTCAGTTCCAGTTCAGGACAGCCAAACTCTTTTCTCAAGGCTCCACTTTAAAACAATAATCAGAACTGCCCTATTCATCCACAAATTATTGAAGGGTCTGCTAGTTTATAAAAAACCTCTTTTAGAGTTTCAGGGAAATCTTTCCCACATTTCATTCTTCTGCCTGTGGATCTATTTTAAAAACAACCAGACCCCTTCAGCTATCCATGAGTGCACACGTTCAGCCACAGAGCAACACACCTAAGCAACAGGCAGGCTGTATTTATAGCATGACACTAACTAAAACTATGTGATCTGTGCAAAGGTAGCATTCTCTGACACAAGGATCTCCAGATCTTTTTTTCTTAATTCCCATAACAGGAAATCAAGCAGGTGTCAAATCTAAGGCAGTGTTTCTCAACCTTCTGGACTGAAGGGACCCCTCACTGGGCTGGAGGTACTCCCCCATACCTTATTTGAACAAAGTGGCATCCTATTTCAAAAACAAATGTATATATTAAGAGTGTTTACCTTCTTACATAGGGGCTGGGCACCTAGGGTAGGGGGATCATCCAGACAGGGACAACCCTGAGCATGGCTTTTCGGCTTAGCCTATCTCCTCACACCTTGTGGCACCCTTCAAAGGATCTGGTGGCACCCCCAGGATGACTTAGAGTCCTGGCTGAGAATCACTAGTCTAATACAGCGGATTTTGTGAGAAGAGAGTTATTCTGATTAAATGTTTCAAAGTACTCTGCTTGTTATCACAAAGCATCAGGCCCAGTATAATTAGCATCACAGGGAATCAAAAAGTTGTTTAAAGTTAGGAACAAAAAACCCTCTGCAACTCTGAAAAAACAGACAAAAATTCAAGCTTTACAGCAAACACTGAATGTGGGAACTGTACAACACTGCAGTAGAGAGCTGCAACTTCTATTATCAATCACCCATGATTTCACACAGGCTATTCTCCTTGTTGCCTCAGGTCACCTGCATCATCCACCCAAGAGGTCCCATCTCTTAGACTCTATGCTTTGTTATAGAGACTTTTTTAACAAAAGCCCAGTACAATGAAGCCTAACCTCATCATGGTCTTTGCATTGCCACAAGGTGGGTATTAAGCCCCCAGCCAATAAAATTATTTAAGTAGAAATATAACTGACTACTTACTTAAGTAAACAGAACACTTGTATAACACATCTAGACTATCAACCCCAAACTGCAGTCTGACAGGAGCTCAATATGCAGATAGAATTAGATTCCTATTAAGCTACTACTAGGAATCATTACACATCTGACTGTCAGTGGTGAATAAAACGTATAACCCATGGTTACAAGCAAAAAGCTTCCAGTATGAAATTCTGAGTTAGACAGGAATTTCTGCAATGTGAACCAAAAAAGAAGGTAAATACATAATTTTTCTAATGAAGCAGATCAAAGTGCCAGCAGATGAGCCTATTTATGCACCTCTGCTTCCTCCTCAACTCAAGTCTCTTTAGGAACGAAAGATTAAATGTATACTCCAGCGTTGCAGGGATTTTAAAAACTAAATGAATGTTTACTTACTGAAACACACGCTCGTCTCCAGTTAAGAGGCATGTTTATTTGATCTGCCCTATGCAATTACTTACGATATTCTCCCAAATGGCGCAAAAGCTGCTTTTATATCTTCAGTTGTAATTTCTGGACTGAGGTCTCCAACAAAGACATGGAAATGGTCTTATTGGGAAAAAGAAAAAATGTGATTTACAAATTTGAAGACTATTCCTGGTGACAGTAGCAGCATAACAATTTCACATTATATCAGCTTCCATATACTGACAGAGACATAAAAACTGGCATCCTTTTTCTCTAAAATACTATGAAAAATCCTTATCACTGTTTTTAATAGAGCCATCACTTGGTGACCTTACAGCAACAGTCTTAAGGGTACTGCTGTGATGACACAAGTCTTTAATTTGACTTTGGTATTTTTACAGTTGTGTTCATAACCAGTCACCATTTTGCTATAAACACACGTAAATGTTTACTTCATAGAAAAAGTTTACTTCAAAATCTTAGTATTGCCATGCTAATGTTAAAATTAAATGTTATATACAGCTCATTAATTAGGCAAAACTTTACCAATTGAAATGTCTAGTGGCTTTGTGAGCAAAGTAGAAAAAATTTGCTCCAAGCAGGACAGCTATTAAACCTAGCTACAACGTTTGGCTTAAATCATATTTTGTGAAGAACAATCAAAGAAATACCTTGCATTGCAACAGTTTGATGTTAAAGAATATGACAGTTTTCTCAAAAGCCAACAGTTTTGGTTGCCCAGCCATTACACCATGTGAATCCATGTGAATTCAATGTATGTGAATCCATGTGCAAGTGAACTAAGACTGAAGGCAACAGAACGGAAACAGTAATCCCTTCAGTTTATGTCAGAGCAATTATAAAGAGCACTGGAGAGAAATAAAAATCCCTTATCTAAGGAGTTTTTGCATTTTTTAAACATTTTTTCATAGAGCACTTCTAAATACTACACAGACTCATTTGTATAAAAGCAGACAGGAAACATAAGCCTACTTGCAACAGTAGCTCAGTAAAACCCAACATTTTAAAAGTAGTTTAAGGCTGACTAAGTAGAGAAGCAACACACTGGGTTGCCATGAAGAGGGATGAAAGGAAGAAACGAACAAACCCAATTTCAAGAGCCATTTAGTTACTCTTGTATGGAGCAGCACAGACAGCAGCCTTGAAGAAAGCTAATAATCTTGCCCTTACATTGAAAGAAAACTCTAGAAGTCATGACAGATGGGGTCAAATGGCTAAGGAGGCAGCACCAGAGTGAAACAGTGGCTACTAGATCACATTCTGATGCAATAATAGGACAGGAGGGGGAGGCCTTACCAAAACTAAAAAAACAGAACATAAAACCCATATATAGCTTTGGGTGATTAGTGGAAACCCTTGAGAGATTTCATTTTATGTTTAAGAAGATACAATTACCTTGTGAACGCTGTGTGTTGACAACGGTACTACCTGATGACAAAGATTAGATTTGTTCTTAAGTTTATTAACACAAACACATTAAATAATATCTTAGGATAACGATCAAAACATTACTGCAAACATTAGTATGGTGCTTATGGCTTATACTTAAAAACTATTTGTGCAAACATAGCAAGTACTCAAAGCATAAGGGACACTTACTGCTGGTATCTTTCTTCTGGCTGCTGGGGGTTGTTGCCCAGTTCACTTTGACCTCCTGCAAATATTATTTGCTAAGGTTACATTAAGTATATTACAACCAAATTCAAAGATTATTAGCATTTATTTCTTATACTGCAGGGGCACAAGATATATCAGTCTGTGATAAAAAAATAGCTGAGAAGTTCCAGTTTCCTAGACTATTATGTTCTCTGTCAAGATATATTAAACCATTCCACAGCGAAGGTAATTTTTTTTTTTTTTTTTTGAGTAATCTTACTCTGCTAGTCTCTTACTCTCAAGGTGAGCAGAAGTAAGATGTTTATTATGACATTTTTGACTCTCTGTTCCCTCCCATTTATGAACCCCAGCTTTCCTCTCAATTGGAACTGCACAACAGAAGTGGGATACCTCTGAGGGCTGTTGACATACTAGAAGGAGGAAGTGGGCAGAGGTAAGATTCTTTCCCCAGGACAGGATTTAAGCACACTGGAGTAGTTGCAGGTGAAAGATGAAAGAGAGAGTGCAGAGGGAACAGCAACAAGGGGAAAGATTTTTGTAGTGGTGGGATGAGAGAGTGATTAGTCTCACATAAAGCTCTACTCAACTCTTCCCATAGCTAGCATTCAGCTTTACCACCAGAATGGGGTGGGGGGAAGACTCGCATTAAGTTCTAATGTTACATAACTAACAAAACACAACAAAGTGTTTAACTTGTGATGCAGTTCTGGTTCAGTCTAAAGAGATATTTCATGCACATCATTTGATATATCAACACACATACTTCCACCACAACTCACCCTTTAAACATGATAGCTTACCTTACCCATTATCTTCCGTCCATTCATAGCTGCTAGTGCTGAAGCTGCATGTCGATGCTCATAAAATTCCACAAAACAGTATGGATCATTTCCAGCCGTCTGTTTGAAAAGCAGGTTATTAAAACCCTTTCAGATTTCACTAACTGTATTTGGCATCTGCTTCTACATGTGAAAGACTTAGTAATTGAGATGAAATGTACAGGAAAAAAACTTCTCAAAGCCATTTGGTTTCTTTTGTTTTTTTAAGTAAGATCCCATTGAAGTAAAACAAACAACCGTTTGCAGCTAAATAGACTGCTCTGCCCCTAAAAACATCCTACCCATCATTATACAGTAACAAAAATGATGCTGAAATTTGCTTTAACAGGCCATTATTCTTCCCAGGACCCTCCTTTATAATCAAGCTATTTTTCCAGGAAGATTATGAAAAGTTAAGCTTGGGGGAATGTTTTAGAAGGCTGTTATGTTACAAGCAGGCAAACAGCTAGACAAAAAAGAGACTCTTACATCCATGATCATTTTGCAGTTTTTGCACGGTCCAATCTGACTGAACAGCTGGAGGATTAGGGCTTCTGTCACATCTCTTGACAAGTTCCCCACGTATCTAATAGAATAAAGAGAAGTTTACATAGTTAAGTGTCCCTTCTATTTACCCATTCAGCATAATTAAACATGATAACAGAGAACTTTTGCTAGTTTGGTACATACAAAAGAAATGGTTTGAACAAAGCACAAATCCTCAGGCACCTCAATTCTGTCTTAAATTACAGGAATGATCTGTCTCCATACATATTACTGAACTATTGTAGTGTCTGGAGTCAACTGAGATTGAAACCCTGTTCCAAAATGCATGGCACCAGCATACAGCAGAAGAAAGCCCCTGACTTACAGAGCCTATACCGTAAACAAAGAAAGCAAAGTAGGGGAATAAAGAAGAATGATAATCATTCATTAATAAATTGACCCTAAAACTGATTAGCATCTCTTCTCAAGTATTTGAAGATTTTATTTCATTAAAGTATCATTTTTATTATTTACAAATTCCAATTACTGGGAAACAAAATGTAGTTCCTTCCCAATAAAAGCAAACAAAACCCTGACCCCCGAGGAGGTCAAAAGTGAATGAATAGTGCAACCCTCCACTAAACACATGGAAAGGCAAAGAAAGGAGAAGTATCAGATAAAAAACACAAACAAACAAAAAAACTACTAGGCCAGTTAAACAGGGAACCCTAGAGTCCTGGTCCCCGAGACCCCTTCTCGGATCACTAAGTAAAACTTTTTAACATAGTAACTCCCCATCTCCTCCTAATGGCAACTTAGCTTGCCAAACTGGAAATGCAAGACACTTCAAATGACTGTGTTTTAAACCAGGACAGAAACTTAAATCAGCAAAGGGAAATGAAGGTCTGTAAACAAAGGGCATTTCCTACTGCATCCCATATGCCAATACTGCATTATTTTTATATTTTTAGACCCTAATTTTAGTTTATATTTGACCGAAGTGCAGGAAATGGGCAATTTCCAAAATATACCACTTGAACCAACCAGCTAAATCCATACTGGTTAGATTCTTATGCAAAATGTTTACAGTAGTTGTTCAGTTATGCAGACCTTGCTGGCTGTCTTAATTTGGTGTTATATGCCACGATTGTAAACAGCATGTGATGGTGAAAAATTCAGAGGTCTGTTAACTCTCTTCTGACAAGAGTCATGATTTCTTAACAGTCGTAACATGTGCTTCAAAGCAGAAACCTCACAGGGTTGAAGCTACCAGGCTGTGCTGAGGGACATCCTAAAGCTCCTCTTCACCTCTGTCAGCATCTAGTGCCTTTTGAACAGTGCTTCCATGGCATTTTTGCAACCTCAGCAGTAGAAAAAAAGGAAGTCAAGCCACAAGGAAGGTCAAAAGAAAATTCCTGAGTCTGAAAAGTGTACAGAAAATACAGATTTCTCTAACAGCACTTTTTCTGTGTGGCAAATGATGTTACAAAATAAACTAAATTAAATCCTGTCAGTACAAATAGTGATTTTCTTGTTTATACCTGTGCTTGCTAGCATAGCACATGAGCTCCAAACAGGTCATGGACCTGTACCTACTTTGGAAATTGCTTAGGTAAGTAATTGCATTATGGTTTGGAAAAAAAATGCAATAAATCTGAACTATAAAGCAAGAGCTCCTTACCATGCTTCTCATAAACAAAGAATGATTGGACAAGAAATGGGTGAATTATGCATGCTGGCTAAAGCAATCACACAGATACCCTCTTTTGTTACTCCATAGAAGTCCATGCCTAAAGACCTGATCCATTACGAAAAAATAATACTGTACTCTATATTTAGTGATATTCCTGTAGAAACTTTCATCACAATCAGAATCTAATGAATCTGTTCCTGCTTTGCCAAGGCAACATTGTCCCTGTGGTTTAGCAACATTTTTCAAATAAGGCAGCCAGGTGATTAAGTGAAGTTAAGATGAATAACTACTTTTTGATGTTTGATAACTAAGTTAAGCAGCACCCCCTAGTCTATGTCCATCGGATACACTGATAATAGCTAGCCTCTTATTTAAAACTCAGCTTTGAATACGAAAGCGTATCAAGTAATTCAAGCCACTTAAGCAGTCTTCATGTGGTTTTCTGAGTCTAGCTTCATTAACAGTTGCTCGTAAGTCAAAGTTGCCTAAAAAGCCAAAATCTACAAACTGATTTTTGCCTGAATGGCAGCTCTTCAGCTGGATAATTACACTTGAATCCCTGCCTAAGGTTGGATGTTGTTAGATAACTGCTTGGCAGCCATACAAAACTTTACATTAGTGCACATGACAAAAATGCATCCCTGCAGGATTAATAACTATAACATGCATAATCACGCTACCCGTTTTCCTAAGCCTTAGTGTCAGTGAGGTAAAAAAAACAGTTAACATCTCCCTTCTCTATGCACAGACTTGAGAATGTCTTTGTAGATGTGCAGAAAGTCTGAATAGGCATACAAACAGTGTAACACGCACAAGAGAAGCCATCAATGCTTTCCTAGTGGGCAAGGATAGCTGCTGCAAAACCTTAAGGTAGGATGTTTAAAACGTGCACGTATGCTCAGAAAAATGGAGACACGTATAGTAACAAAGAAATATTTCATTCCCTTATTTCTCATCATGGTCTTCCTGAGTAGTTAATAACTTTTCCTCTCTGCCCAACTTATCGACTGAAGCATGACATACAAAGTGTGGACTGATATCAAGCATGTCTAGAATATTAAAACTTTTTTCTCAAAGAGTTAACAAGAAACAGGTATGAAAGGTGTTCAGCATTCCAACAGGTAGCAGCTGGCCCAAGTTAATGGAAATGGTGCTTTAAAGAAGCCTATAGATAGCTTGAAAGCAGATCTATACATCAGACAACTATTTCATATACCTTAACCCAGCTAGTTTTAAAATAACGTTTGCTCTGTTTTCGAATGTTTAAAAAAATGTGCGCTATGACAAGCTATTTAGAAGACACTATAGGAAAGACAGCTTGCCACAGCAACCACTTCAGACTAACCGAATGCCAACAGCTGTTCTATTTTAATGCCAGGTACTTATATTCTGAGAAGTAGCACAGGACTGATATTTTGAATCCATAACATTCTAAATATATTCTCTGATATGTTACTGGGAAAGCTTAATGGAAGGGAAGGCACAATTATGAAGCCAATCGTTTGGAAGATAGATGGTAGATTGTATTATTCTGACTATTCAGTACCAATTTAAAAAAAAAAAAAGAAAAAAAAGACAGAGACTTAACGCCAGCCTGTTAAATGCATCTGTGCCGAATGCAATGCAAACAATAGCATTCCAAAGCAGATCAGGGACATGAGTGGTGCATGTGATGCCTTGGAGGGAAGAAGTTAACGACAGCTTGTGTGAAACAACCAGAACTGGACAATTGGTGAAATAAGATACTCTATTGCAGGGATGTCAAACACATAATCTGTCTTTGGGGGCTCCAGGCAGGCCCAGAAATTCAGGGGCAGAGCCCACTGTAGAAATCAGAGTTACAAGGCCCCACTGGGGATGCCCATCGGCAGGGGTGAAGCAAGGCTGTGCACAGTGCTACTTGCCCCACCAAGGGGAAAATAATCCCATGCACCAGTACAGGCTGTGGACTGATCGGCTGGGCAGCAGCTCTGCAGAAAAGGCCATGAGGTGACAGTGGACAATAAGCTGAATATGAGCCAGCAATGTCCCCTTGTTGCCAAGAAGGCTAATGGCAAACTGGGCAGCATTGGTAGAAGTGTTGGCAGCAGGTCAAGGGAAGTGATAATTCCCCTCTCTTCAGCACTGATGAGGCCACATCTGGAGGACTGTGTTCAGTTTTGGCCCCCCCACTACAGAAAGGATGTGGACAAATTGGAGAGTCCAGCACAGGGCAACAAAATGGTGAGGGGACTGGGGGACATGGCTTATGAGGAGAGGACTGGGAACTGGGCTTATCTGGAGAAGAGAAGACTGAGAGGCGATTTAACAGCAGCCTTCCCCTACCTGCAGGGAGGTTCCAAAGAGGACGGAGCTGGACTGTTCTCAGTGGTGGCAGATGACAGAACAAGGAGCAGTGGTCTCAAGCTCCAGCAAGGGACGTATAGGTTAAATATTAGGAAGAATTCTCTCACTGGGAGGGTAGTAAAACACTGAAACAGGTTACCTAGGGAGGTGGTGGAATCTCCATCCTTGGAGGTTTAAGACCTGGCTAGACAAAACCTTGGCTGGGATGATCTAGTTGGGACTGGTCCTACTTTGACCATGGGTTGGAATAGATCAGTGGTCCTCAACCTTCTTTGTACTAGGACCCATTTGTAAACACTCATGGCTAGTCCTGATCCAGTGACCCTCACTCCTGACCTGCTGCTGCCCACCCCAGGCCCCCAGTGTGAGGGATGGGGCAGGTATGTGTGGAACATGAGTAGCCCAAGCAGTGCCTTGTAGGCTGGAACTCTGCCAGCCTGTAAGGGAAAAGCCACGATTTCCCATATTTTTCTCAGAGAATCCATTTTTAAATTTTGTTTGCAACCCTTTAATATGTTCTTATGATCCACAGGATGATAAACGCTGGACTTGATGACCTCCTGAGGTCCCTTTCAACCCCAATTTTCTGATTCACTACCACCATTTGCCTCACCAGTATTCACTATGCTACTAACATTTGCACCCCCTACTTCTCCTCCTACTACTGTTCACTCCATTGCCACTGCTTACCCAGATACTGCCAGGAGCCCAATGGTATGGATCCAACCCAGGGGACTCCATCAATTTGACACCCCTGCTCTATGGACTAACGCTGAAATAACTTATGTAGACTTAAATACATGAAATCAGACAAATATGTAGGCATGAACTTGAGTGTTACAACTGAATGCACAGTGGAACCTAAAATGGGTCTAAAACATGCTACATGCCTATGAACCGCAAACAGTAGCTAAGGCCGAGAGAGAACACCAAGCTTCACTGTGGGAAACCTCACACTTTCAAACTGGCCCACCAACACCTGCAGCCTAAAGCCTCCTTAACCTTAGTGACATGGGAAGGACAAGACGGTTGCAACCCCCTTCCTCTCTCAGAACAAAAAAACCCATTTCATTGGTACTACGTGCATTTGCGGGAATGTAAATTAATTTTACTTGCTACAGCTCAACTGCCTGACTATACTAATGATGGATGTTTGTCTCATCCATTTCTATGCTCTACCACGTCTACTGGCTTTATTCACATGTAAACCAAAGTGCAAAAGAACAATTTGGAACACTTTAAAAAAAATAAATCAAGGGTCCAGTCTTGCATTTCTTGTGTGTCCATGTCCAAGTAAAAAATAAACATGCCCACCAAACGCAAGACTAGGCATTAGCACGTCACTGACCATCAGGTTGCCTGGCTAACATTGAGACAGGAAGATTAACTCCATGGGAATGTAAGGAACTTCCATCTTCCCTAAATGGTATGCCTCTTTGTACTTAATCTGATGCTCATTAAGCAGAGCTACCTAGTTCAAGGATGGCTGCACACAAGAAACCCACACCTCATTTTTATCAGCGTGTATATCTCTGAATAGCACTGTGGAACAACACAACATGAACCCTATCTGATCTTTCTGAGGAAAATATTTTTTATATTTTAAATAAAGCAACAGCTATACAGGCAATCTGTCCTAGCAGATTTCAAGAACATTGGCTGTACTGTAATTAATTTGTATGTTCAACATTTAGAGAACTGTGGTTGTTATATGGATTTTCGTGGAAAAAAAATCACCCCAAAAAGTGGGAGAATTATATGAGCTATCACTATGGGAAAAAGGTGTTTTAAGCTAACCTATGACCTCCAGAAAGAGCTTAAAGAACAAGATAAAATTAAGAAGCTGGAAAAAAGACCCTGGTGTCCTATCACACTGTTCCAAGACCATCTGATTGAAAATTGGGATGCAACCCATCCCTAGAAAGAATTTTTAGTAAAACTATTACTTTACTATATAGTAAGACTCTTTGAGCAAGTTCCAGACTCTCATGCTGGAAAGTGTGTTGCAGCAAAAATGAGAGGAGTAAATTTATTTAATACTGCAGGTTAATTTAAATTTCAATGACCATTTTCTAGATGACCTAATTGTAATGACTTTCTTGAAATGGATTCAGGGCAATAACATTCTTAGTCTTTTCTGTAAAAGCAATTTTTGCAGTTTGGAAACGCATCTGAGTTTTCCCCCTCACTCCAACAGGCCATATGTACTTAAAAGAGCAAGCTATTCATTCTCCAAAGCAGAAGTAGTCTACTCAAAATAAGTAAAGAGAGCATTAATCAAGACTCCAGACAAGAAACTCACCACTATGGGAAAAATGAAAGGTATACCAGTGAAAAATTAAAACATGCATATGTGGGGTGGGATTGAGAAGCTCTGACCCATCTGCTTCCAGATGTCCCAAACAGTTGAAATCAATTAATCAGAAAGTTCATTACTTTTACAATATTATCAGAAAGATAATATTCTACTTTTACAGTCAGAATACTTATCACGTAGGCAAACTTGGACCAAAAGATTTGGCACAGGTCACACTAATCTCATTTTGCTGTGTAGTGATTATTTATTGCGCCCATGGGATACGTGCAAAGCATCATCTAAGGGCAACTGCAGAAGTTCTGCCCTCACCTTGAGGAAAAGTCTCCCTCAGCTATATTAACACTAAGGGCAAGGTGTGATAAATAGCAGCAGCTTACACGAGAGTCCAAGTTAGTAGAATATAGTGAAATCATGAGGTCTAAGCAGCAGAAATGACTTCAGATAAAGTCTGTCAGAAGAGGAAAGAAACCTAAATAGAAGATTAACACCGCCAATTCTTCCATGACTTTCACATGGAGTCAGCTAAATGAACAACTGCTAACTAGAATGATAAAGAAGCAGGATTTTCAGTGCACTGCAATAAGCACTAACCCAATAAGAACGGTCTGGTCATTACAGCTATCTTTGATTCCAGCTCATTTCAAAAGAATGTTATTCCACAACCATGGTGAATAACTCAGGATCTATGCAGGTGGATCCCAGCTGGACATTTCTAAAACAGCTGGGCTGGCAGTTTTCATTCAACGTGATCCATTTCAAAGCCTATCGCGCACGCACACGCATATGTACACGCAAACAGGCACCCACACAGACGCATGAGCAACACAGGCATGCACATACACACAGGCATACCTGTGCACACAGGTACACACACACACAGGTATACAAGCACACACACACAAAAGGGTCTGAAATATCGAGTTCTTGAAACTTGTCTGTGCAAATGTATATACAGCACTGGGGACTCAATTAATTACACTGTCTTTTAGGGAAACCCACTCTGAAACCCACTGTGTGGTATTGGGCTATCTATATAGGCTTTCAGTCAGGGGTCAGGATCACACTGAGACACTCCATCTACAGGCTCTTTTTTGCAGGTTTCCAGGGCAAACTAACATGGCCACAGCTGTACGCAAGACCGGCCAGGGAGCCCGAGGAGCAGCCTGCAGAGAACCAAACCCTCCTGGGAGAGAGGAGGCAAGATCAGGCGATGCCTAGAGGGAGAAAAGGAGAGGAAGAAACAGGGAGGCCCCTGTGTGCTGCCCTCCAGCTCCCTGCAAGGGTCCAAAGCCTCTCCCCTCTGATAGAGAGGCTTTGCAGTGTCTCAGGCCTCTTTGCAATGCCTTGCAAGGAGATAAGCCAGACTCCCCTGCAGCAGCAGGAGGCTCTGCCAGGCTGCCTGCCGCTCTCTGTGCATGGCAGGGTGCAGGGCAGAGTCCCCCCCCTCGGAAGGCAATGGATAGGGCTGGGGCAGGAGACAGGGCTGGACGGAACCAAAGCAGGTGTGGGGGGAATGGGGCCATGCTGCGCCCCCCCGCCCCAGGAATGAGGAGCCGGGACCCCCCGCGGGGCCGTATGGAACGCGCCGGCCCAGGGGCGCCTGAGGGGGGACCCCGGAACCAGCGCCGGGCGCGGGGGGGGGGCCGAGGGGCAGCAGCCAAACCCCGCCCGGGGGGTGGGGGAACCCGGCCCGGCCCCTTCCCACTCACAGGGTCTTGGGCATTTCATCCTCCATGGCTCCGCCGCGGCCCCCACCACCCACCCCGGGTCTTCTCGCCGCGGCCCCGCCGCGCCCGCCTGGCGGACAATGAGCCCGAAACGCGGCTCAAGATGGCGGCGGCGGCGGGCGAAAGGGCCCGGCGACCGGAGGAAGGGAACCAAGCGCATGCGCGGAGAGCTCTCCACCCCGCCCCTGAGGGCGCATGCGCACTAAGTCTCCTGCTGCGCGCATGCGCTAGTTAGGGCCTGATCCCCGCCATCGTCTGACGCGTGCGCAGTGCCCCTCCTTTGCTTCCTTAATACAGCTGGTTCTCGCTGTGTTTTGGGGTAACTGCATTAGTTGCGGAGCGCCTGTCGGTTGCTTTTCCGAGCGCGGGAGGTCTGTGGAGCTGTCGTGCTACTTCGGCAAGAAAAAGAAGGGGAAAGAAAATTTCTGCGCCGCCCGGGAATCGAACCCGGGTCGCAAGAATGGGAATCTTGCATGATACCACTACACCAGCGGCGCGGATGAGAGAGCGGGCCCGGCCTGGCCTCATGAGCCTTCTCCTACGGAAGTGATGAGGGCGAGGGCGGTGCTGGGCTGCAGCGGGACCCCGCGGGGGCAGGCCTGGGAAAGGGAGAGGAGCGAGGAGGGCGCCAGGAAACACCTTCCCCCGCCTGCCCCTGGCGCCATTTCCTATTTTACAATTTTTTTCCGTTCTTTTTAAAAATCTCACGTCATGGCTGTGGCGAAGACCGCCCACCTTTGCACAGATTTCACAATTTTGGGGCAATCCGGGAAACCGGCAGTTGAGTCACTTATCCACGACCTGCTCCTTCCCACTGCCTTGTAGGCCTCACCTGCAGAAGCACCCTGCCCCCCCATGCACCCGGCCTCACTGAAGTTGCTCGTTTGTGGCTGAAGTGCAAGACACGTCCTGGTCCAGACCCCTCCAGGGGCCGACACCAAAGACCCACCATCACATTCATTGTGGACGATCCCACCCAGCGTTTCCCAAGCCAGGCATGACAGCCCTCCCTGAAAGACAGACACAGGCCTCTGCTGGGAAAACGGGGCACTCCTTGCCCGGAGGACGGACAGCCCAGGGGCCTCCAGTTGGACCTAGGACTTGAGAAAAGACCTCCAGGACAGGACCCAGCCCTGCTCCCTCCTCCTGGAAGTGTTACATGCTTGAAACTTTATTAAAACTAAGTCTGGGTTCACCTTGGGCCTACCCGTGCCCCAGGCAGCACTGGGCACTCAGCCCTGCTCGGGGGCTCGGTGCTGCCAGCCTGGCTGGGGCTGCGCTGGGGCAGGGGAGCCGCTTGAGGGCAAGGCTGGGCACACCGGGCATGAGGAGGTTGTGCCAAGCAGGCTCAGCATCTCTGCTCGGCCTCCCTGCTGCACGAGGCTCCTCAACCGCAGTCTCTCTGCCGGGTACATGGCGCCCAGCGCAGCCCCCATAACGCCTGTACTTTCTGCGACATCCCCTGTGCCCTAGACGCAGAGCTGCCATGCACCTGGCTGCCACTCTCTTGCTCCTGCTCCCGGGCTGCGTGCGGGGCCACGCGCCAGATAGCCCCCCACGCAGGATTGGTACCGGGCACCGTGCTCCAGACATGCAGCAGCCCTGGGGCTGGGCATGGGGGCTGCCTGGGGGAGCACATCCTGGCAGGTAGGGCTCATTGTAGGGTAGCAGAGCCAGATCCCAGCTGCTTAACCTTTTTTCATACTGTAACTCATTTGCAGGGGTCCAGGTTTTCCCCAATAAAAAAATTGTAAGTTCTGATAAAACCCCCAAAATCCATGATTAAAATGAAAGGTCCCCCACAGCCCCTTGTCCTTGCTGGTGCCGCTCACTCCCCCATACAACCTCCTCAGCCCCGCTGGTGCCCCTCACCTCCCAGCTGCCCCCCAGGAGGCACCCCTGTGGGGGTATTGCCTGGCTGTACAACAGCCAGAGCCCAAGGGCCAGGCCAGGGGAGCGCAGGAGCCGCCTGTGTGGGAGAGGCCAAGGCTGAAGTCAGTCCATCCCCTGGAGACACTGCCACTTGGCATGGGCCCCATTGTCCGTCACACAGGAAGGCTCTCAAGGCTTTGCGGCCCCTCTAGCAGGCTGCATCCAGTGCTGCAGCGGCCTCGCACCCGGGAGCATGGGCAGCCCTGGCTTGCAGGACAGCACGTGGCTCCTTCCATGCTGCCCCCCGCCACGCGGGTGGGGCTGCGCATGGCCATGGGTGGGGCTGCGCATAGCCACACTTCGAGAAGATCAGCACCCAGGGGTGGGATCAATCAGGTGTGGGCCGGGGCCTTGCTGCCGTGAGCCACAGGCCTGTCCCTATATGAAACTCCCTTCAGTGGAGAGAAACTGCTGCTTCAGGTCCCCATGCAAGGAAAACCAAGATCTCCTTTCTCTTTAATGGGTGCAGACAGAAATGACGTTTGTCGTGTGTTCAGTCCCTTGAAAGCACTCTGAAGCCTTGCCCAAAGAGAAAAGCAGGGCTGGTCCTGTGACAAATTAATCCTCACTGCATAAGCATTCAAATGAAACTTTTATGGGGAGTGACTTAATTTCTGGCTGCAGCACAGTAAGCTGCAGGTGCTTTGGATGGGAAGGGGAGAAGGCAGGGGAGGGAGGTCCCTTCTGGGGTTCTCAGCCTTGCTGCATTAGAGGACCTGGCAGACTGGAGCCCCTCACCTGGGAGGCACCAATCTACCCACCCCCCAACTTTAACTGGACTCAGAAAACCCCAGAAGACCTCCCTCCCTTGCCTTCTCTCCCTTCCCTCCAGAGACAGTAGTGGAGCTGAGGGAGGAGGGTAGAGGCAGGAGAGGACAGCTCTTTTCTCACTGGATCAGCTCCAAATTGGAGCCAATTCTCAACCCTCCCATCCAACAGCTAACATCTGTTGGATGGCAGGGATCGGACTAACTTTCTATGACTCACCATGAGTTAGACCTGGGAGCTGCACTTCTGTCTGCACCCATTATTACTCTTCTGAGCTGTGAGCACCAGCATCCAGCAGCATCTTATCCGTTTCACTTCCATATTACCTGGCTCTTTCTGCATGCACTTGCCCCAGATCAGAGCAGCACCATATCTGCTGTTCTGCTTCACCAGCATTCCCCACCTGCAGCCGCAGTGGGTGAGACCAGCCCTGAAGAACATGCAAGAACAAGACTGTGGGAACCAGACCGAGGAGCCTCGCTCAGGGAGAATGGGCTTCAGCGCAGGTCGTGTCACCTGCAGCACACCCAGGCACAATCACCTGCTCCAGCTGCCCAGACCTCGTCCCCACTTTGGGGTGTTGCATGAACACCTCATCTCCACGGGGAACACTAGGGCCGCAGTTCTGCACCGCTCTACTCTGGTACAAGCTGCAGAGATACCACTGGCAGCTCCTGCGTCACCTTCCCCTGCTCCAGGGAAGGCTGCACAGCAAAAGCACCCGGAGTACCTGAGCCCTGATTGTGCTACAGCTGCAGCTCCTGCTTATTTTGGCTTGGAGACCCTCTCTTCTAGATGCACCTCCTATACCTATACCATCTGAGCAGCCAGCATGGGGGTAGCAGAAAGTAAAGACATTATTTTTTCCTCATTTATTTACCACGTGTATAAATGTTTATGAACAAAATTCTGTTTGCAAAAAACTCTGTTTACTGATGAGCCTGGGGAAGCTCTACCAGGACATCAAAATGAGCATTTACTGGATAAATAGGACAGTAGAATAACGAGGGCTGCCTGACTTCAGAGCTTGTAGCAATGACCTTAATGAGAACATGACTTCTGTCTGAAATGTGCTTTCAGTCATTACTGGAGCTGGTATTGGTGGCACCTCAGCAGCTTTATTTATTTATTCATTTATTCATTCATTCATTTTTAAACACATTTTGGGAGAAATGTACAAATCGACCTGTTTGAGAATGAAGCAGTAGGGGGCTGTTTGGCTACTATCAGTGTGGAAGGTAAAGAGTATGAAGCAGGAGGATCTGCCACCCATCCCCTTAACCTGCAGAAGAAAAACAGTTTATCAAGGAACTCAGTCAGTGACTCTTCCTTAGGGATTTTCTTTCCTCCCTTTAAATTTACTAGCCTGTTGGGGGCATTACTCATAGTTTCAAGTACCACCCACAGCGGTAGGAATTTAAGAAGGAAATAAAACCTCAATGCTATAAATGGCTCAATTAGAATTGTTGCATTCTCTGTTTTGGGGGGTCCTTTTATAATCCTCATGCAGTGAATGGAGATTTACCTTTTTGGATTATGCTATCAGTTCTTGCTAGTTTACAGCAGGTATTTCTTCCCTATGTAGGACTCTCTCCTGCACAAGGCTGGGCCCACATGGCAGGCATTTACAGTGGAGAGGAATTTGTATTTGAGGAGAGTGGCTGATACAGAATCACGGTTCTTAAGCTTCTTTGGCAGTACTGGTTGAACCCTCTGTAAATGTACATGTGGGTGGAAGATATCTTGGAGAAGTTCATGAAGTAATTAACATATGAGGCCTGTCCTAAATTCATGCCACTACCCAAGTGACTTGCATGCAACAGAAGCTGTGTTGATGAATGCTAATAAAACCAAGGCAGCCAGGCTTGCTCGGGTAATTAAGAACCACTAGCCTGTCTGCTGCCTTCTCTCCTACCAGCCACACCTAAGCTGAGTTACTACAATCATACAAAGATGTAAATCTCCCTTTCCCTATGCAATCCTATAAAGACAAAAATCACCCCTTTCTCCTCGCAGTGGTCTTTATACAGTATGATGTAATAGTAGCATATCACTCAAAAATATTGCTAGGAGCATAAACATTTTTGAATCGATTCACATTCCTCTCTCCTTTGGGATAAAGGATCTACCGCTACCAGTCTCACAACTACACCTTCACCAGCACAGAGTCTACTCCAGGGGTGGGCAAAATGTAGCCCATGGGCCAGATGCAGCCCTCCAGGCCATTCTATCTAGCCCGCAGGGCCCCTAAAGCATTTAGAAAATTAATATTTATCTGCCCCTGGCTGCCTGTCATGCTGCCCTCGATGGCTTGCCAAGACTCAGTAACCGGTCCTCCACCCAAAATAATTGCCCACCCCGGTCTACTCCATGCCTTTGGAGAGAATGGAGCTCCTGAACAAGACTATTGACCAGGCTATGCAGAAGACTGGCTTCTCCCAGAAGCTTATTAACGAGGTGGTAACTCCAGCCATTAGAATCAATTACGGGCAAGCTGTGAACATCAAGGGTTTTGTTGGTGAGCATGTAATTTGCACTTAAACCTTATGTGGCTGCATTCCCAGTGAATCCTTTTAGTGCTAGCATAGTGACACTGCTTACTGGCCTAGTACTCAGCTTCAGTTCTTGTTACTTGTTCCCTGGCATTTTAGTATTCAGGCCCAGTGAAAAGGCCTCTCTCCATTCAACAGTGCCTGCTCTTACTCTTAAAGAAGAAAGAGCTTACCTTAAAGGTTCCTCTTGGAGGTGGAGAGTAAACTGACTTGTAAACTTCCCTGTTTACTTGCGCTCTGGTTCCTTGCGGAGTCTCCTTTTATACTCTGCTGGGCCTGGACTGGGTCTGCCCCCTTGTTAGACACAGGCAGCAGTCATTGTGTCCTGTTAGGACTGCAGGGGCATATCTTTTTCACTGTTCCTGGAGCGCTCACAGTCCAGTCCCCTGCCTGCTTCACTGAATGGTACTGGGATGATTGAGTGTGGGTTTGAATTGTTTTTTCCATTTCCCTGGCAGGCGCAGTGTTTCTGGCAGGTGCAGATTCTGAACTCTGGTCAGCTGAAGGAGGTAACAAATGTGTCTGTGATGGTCTTCTTTCTGCTTCCAAAGCACAACTTATCCCTGGCACGGTTGCCTCAGTAGAGCTGAGATCACAGCTCAGATCACCAGGTGAGGCTTAGTTGAGTTCTTTGGAGGAACAAGCTGTGAAGCTAGAGGTGGGCTTATGCAGTGCAGTTTAACACTAACAGGCCCCTACTCTATCAACTAGGGTGATGATGAAAAACAGTCAGAGCCTGCCCTCTCCTCTCCCCCCTTGCAGCAATGTGGGCATACCTACCCTTCTTGTTACTGTGTCAGCACCTCCCAGTCTCCAGCCTCACACCATGCGCGCGCGCGCGCGCGC